AAAAATGTCTAGTGATGCTATGGAGAAGCTACTACCTTAGATGGGTGTTCTGCTGGGGAAAACACATCCATCCCAGTGTTCAATTAGGCATAATTTAGCTACCTAATTTTGCAGCACTAGGACCATAAAAACCTAAGCATTCATTAAAACCACCACCACAAAAAATCTTTGGCTGACTAGCTTGTGCCCATCTTCTCTGCAGTCACAGAAACAGCAAATGGCTTGGATTGGAAGGGACCTTAAAGATCATCCATATCTAACCCCTTGCCATGGGCTGGTTGCCTCTCACCAGCTCAGGCTGTACAGGGCTCCATTCAACCTGGCCTCGAGCACCTCCAGGGATAGGGCACACATAGCCTCTCTGAGCAAGTTGTTCCAGTGCCTCGCCACCCTCTGTGTAAAGAATTCCCTTCAAGTACTGGAATGTCTCATAAGGTCTCCTCAAATTCTTCTCCAAGCTAAACAAATCCAACTCCCTCAACCTTTCTTTCAAGAAGAGGTTCTCCAGCCCTTTGATCATCTTCATGGCCTCCTGGACCTGCTCTGAGAGTTCTGCATTGTTGATGTGTTGAGGACCCTGAGTATGGATGAAGTGCTCCAGATGAAGCCTTACAAGGGCAGAGTAGAGGGGGGGATGATCACCTACCTTGCCCTGCTGGCCATCCCTCTCTTGATGCAGAAGTCCTTGCAGAACTCAGTACCAAAATTGGGAGTCTCAAGGTAGCCACCAAATATGCTTCATATGCCCCACTAGCAGAATGAGGGGGAGGTACAGCCTTTCAATGACTAATAAGGGTAGCTCTTGACCTGGACTAGAATCAGGATTTCTCTGGGCACTGCAGTGAATATCCTACTCAGCGGGCAGCTCTTCATCATCTATGCCCTGTGTTGCTCCTCCTTCCTCTCCTGAGGAAGCTTCTATTCATTACTGTGCCACTTCAAAAATGGTGAGAATTTTCAAGGTTTCTGCACCTCTGTATTATATTCTAACAGTTAAAGGATTTCATTTCAAATATGATAGTGGGCTGTCTGGCTGTGTATGTATACCCAAACTTTGAGGAAGTTTGAAGAAATGCATTCAGAGCAGCCAAATCAGTTCTCAGTATTAAGTCAGGTTTTTTCCTTAGATTTCTCAGAGCTGCTTTTTTTTTTCTCCTCCACTATTAGTTTTCTCTTCCTCCCCTACAAACCTTCATGCTGATTCTTTACAAGCACATTTCTTAAACCTTCAAAAGACTCTAGGTATAATATGTATCCCAGATCCTTTGGTTTGGCAGTATGCTGTCTGTTTTAGCTAATTGTTTTATATTAGCCTTATATTATCCACTACCACTGGCTACCACTCAGGTAGGTGGTACTTCTCTCTTTTGAAAAGTGTTAATTAGATAACTGGCTTGGGTTTTATATCATTCTTTGTGACATTCTTTCAATGTACCATCTCATAATGCAACAGGCCAAAACTGCAGAGAATAGATTTTCTTTTTTGGTGGGATTTAGCAGAAGGTCTGCTGTGTGTTCTTCCAATGCATCTGTGATATCTGGTGGCCTTATAACATCAAAGAATTGTCTCATTCTCAGTGAATACTTCTTTGCTCTTCTACTGACTTCTGTGTAAGGACTCACGTAGGCTCATATGGTATATGTATAAGGGAGGAATACATGATGTAAGATTAAATGTGGTGATTAAAGGTTTGTTATTGCTATTTGCCTTTCAGAAATGGCTACAAATGTTTGTTGTATTATTTGTGGGAATTGCTGACAAGAAGGTTTGTTTTTTTTTTTTTTTTAAAGGGTAAATTCAGCACTGTTAAGGTGGTCATTTGACTATTAATTCCCCCCTGTATTTGGCATTTAAGGTGTTGTGCAGACCCTGTTTTTGTTCCTTTTTATAAGCTGTTGGCATACCTTCCTTCTCCATTACAAATGCATGCCAACAAGAGTGGAAGTAAAGAAGCATAGCTTGCAAACCAATCCCTACAGCCTAGTCAAAGCATCTAGGATGCATCTTAAAGGCTACGTTAGAAATGCAAAGCTCTGTTAGGGGGAGTAGATACAGGAGGGAGAATTGGCTGTTTGTTGGCCAGCTTGGTGTCAGCATGGATTCTCAGTGCTAAGTATTGGGAAATGTTACAGGGTAGGAATGCTGTCTCCAAAACACAACTGGTCCATTGTTGGTGGGTTAAAATTCTGCCAGGCCTGTTGCAAGTTTTACTGTTATGTCTGCATGTTGCTAAAATTATGGTATGGATGAATCTGAAAAATGTTGGGAGAATACTTAAAGCTTTACTGAGATGGGTGTAGAAGAGAACTACCACTGCAATAGTCAAATTGTATTCTTTAAATTAGTAACAAAAATACTGTTTACTTTAGCAAGTATTTTATTTTGCACACAAATATAGGCATTTGTAAAGAAGCAGACTTCTCAAGAAGTTATCAGAAAAAACTTCTGTTTTGAAGTACAGAACTGAAAGCAGTAGCAAACAAATACATTCCTTTACATTATGATTAATCCATAGATAACCAAGTGCTATGTTCAAATAGTTATTTAAACTTAACCAGTACAATCAAATGTGCTTTATTCATTTTGCTTGATGCTGTTCTTGTATTGTAACAAGCAGGCTAAGTACAGTGATTTGCACAAAGTACTGTGCTTGGAATATTTTAACAGTCAATAGGATCTAAGATCAAATGGTGTATATATATCTCACCACTTTTACTCATGTATCATGTAAATTGAATAGCTGTGTGTATACAAGATAACAGACAGAATTGGCATTAGGCATGTTTCTGTTCTAACAGAACAGAGTGTACCTACAAATAGGTAGGAAAACAAGATTTGGTAAAACAAGCGGATGCTCAGCAGGTCTGGAAAAGCTCCAGTCATCCCAATGCCTGGTAAAGTACTTGCTCTTAAACTCCCAAGTTCCACAGTTTTGTCTCATAAATGCGTATTTGTGCATGCTATGAACAATGCCTCTCTACCAAATGGTTAAAATAACAGAATTGATAAGATAGATGAATTCATACAGTAAACTCAAAAAAAAAAAAAATTAATGATAACTGACCTGGTGCTTACTCTCTTTAGAGATGAACATTGAGAACTCAGTTCATCTGTCTAAAAATTAAACTCTTTCCCTGGGTTTATTAGGGGCATATAGGATTTACATGATGTATAGCAGCTCATTTCTCTAGCCTTCCTTGCTCCTGGGGACAGAGGGGTTTTAAATTACAAACAACTTTCAGGAAAGGTGAGGATCTGTCCCTATTTATGTACAAATGCACAGCATTCAGTCTGTATATGTGTGGGCTTAAGGTCTGTTCCTCAGAAGTTATGATCATAATTGCTTTGGATAAGTGTTATCTGTCTATACCGTGAATATTTGGGCCACAGTACTCTGGGGCCCAATTCCTGCCCATACTCGATCAGTGTTACTGAAATTCCAATATTATTTAGTAATTGAAACCCTGAGCATAATACTGGAATCTTCAAGCCCAGCTGAACTCAACTGTTCATCCTGAGTAAAGAGAGAAGAATTTAAAGCTACACAGAGCTGCCTTAAGCAGGAGATACAGCCAAGTCGTACCAGCCTGCTCCTGCTTTTGTTACTGAAAAAACATTCTGTGTGAATCTCCTGTAAATGAGATTTCATCTTCCTAGTTTTATAGTGGGGGGAAAAAAGTCAAATTCCTGTGGAGTTGTGCAAATGATTCACAACTTTCAAGCAATGAGCTCTCAACTAATATTACAGTGAAAAGGTAAACCTCACTTTCTTTATGCTCACTTTTAATAGCTGTAGAGATGGCAAATGCAATGTATTTTAATAGCCTCAGAGGCACTTCTGTAACTACAGTGACATCGCAACACTGCAAAAATTCAGAGCATAATCAATACGAAATTTACCTGAAATTGTTTGAAATTGCATTACTTCTTTCATTTCAGTATATTACGTTGAATTATACAACTAAATGAATAGTGTTGGCTGCTAAGCAACTCTGATACTTTGGTTTAATGGATGTAGAACTTGCTCTATGATAAGGTTGACTCATAAAGTAAGGAAGTTTTTAACAGACAAACTTCTTCAAGCCTACAAAAAGAAAATCATGTTTGGAAGATGTGTTTGTAGAAATCTATACCTGCACACACACTGACACAATACCAAAAATGAGCAAGTGCTCTGTATAAGGAGTTTGAACTTGAAGAATCAATGCCAAAGCAAAACAAAAATAATAATCTTGCAGCAATTTGAAAGAAAAGTAATGATGGAAAATGTCTAAAGCCATTAAGTTCTTCTCAATCCACAAAAGTACAGCATGTAGCTTCCAGCAGGTGAGTGGGGTGTGGGCTCACTGAAACTTCAGTAGCTTCAGTATTTTCCTCAACTTGGATTTTTAAGAAATGTAGTGCAGGCTTTCTAGGTACTGTGTTGTTTTCTCTCTTTTCTTAGGTCAAAATAAGGCAGTGTGCATTGGGAAGGTGAGGAAAAAAAACCAAAACGGTGCTTTTGCACAAGCAATACACCAAGATGTTCTTGCTAATAGTTGTTTATGATATATGCCAGAATTGGCTTTGTGCTTTAAATCTCCCCTGAGCCTCTTCTCCTCCAGACTGAACAACCCCAGATCCTCCAGCTGCTCCCCATAGGTCTGTGCTTCAGACCCTTCACAGTGCAGATCCTCAAATTTGGCTGCGGAGGAGAACTGAACAACTGGCACAGGGGAGGCGAAAAGGGCAGTTGTTTTTGGAGCACTTCTCAGTGGTACTGTTACAAGCTTTTAAAGAATAGAAAGTAATTCACAAAGTAAAAAGAATAATAAAGGGCTAACTAAATATAAAAGGCCTTGGGCAACCTGCTCTAGTTGTGGTGTCCCTGTTGATTGCAGGGTAGTTGGAATAGATGGCCTTCAGAGGTTCCTCTCAACTCTAAGGATTCTATGATTGTGTATATAACTATGTAGAAGACAGCAGCTATATTTTCAGTCCACCACTAGTGGGCCTTATATGTCTAGCTTGCCACTTTATTCATGGACAAAAACCATCCCATGCACATCTGCTTTTTAGTTTTGTTGAAAAGCAAGCACGCAGTATGCAAGCTAATAAATGGCAGGGAGACAGGTGATACCAGTGTTGTACAGGCACAACATAGGAACTGCCTGGGTAATGGGTAATTTTAGAGAGCCCTTGGGAACCCCCCTCTATCACACAGTTGCTGCCAGTCATACCAATACCCGTTGCTATTAGGAGGGCTGGGGGGGAGCTGCTCTGTTAAGAAGGGAAAAGCATCACGTGCTGCCGGGCTGGGGCACGAAGTGCTGGCAGTGGGAGCTTCCCACACACCAAAGGAACGTTTCCCTGGGGCTGCTGATGGGGTCGTGCGGAGGAGTGGGCGGCCTCGTGTCAGCCCCTGCCGGCGGTGCGTGGGGCGGGTCAGGTTCCACCATGTGACACAGGTTGGGGAGGCAACGGGGCCGCCGGGATGCTCAGGTTTAACGTTTCTTGTGCGAAAATAGCTGCTGTGCCAGGTGCAAGCGTGTCCGCAGGGTTCGGTTTCATGCTCACGGTGCCCACGAACAAACCCGCAGAGGCGCAAACCGAAGCGCGAGGGCTGAAGAAGTAACTGTCGGAGGGCGCTGCAGGATTCTGCTTCCCTCCGCCGCGAGCTTCTCGGTCTGCAGCTCACACCGCCAGCGGCCCCTCGGCCTCTCGGTGCTGCGGGAGGGAGAGCAGGGCAGGTTAGAGGCAGCCCCCCCCAAGCCCATTAAAGCCCGGCTGCCCGCACATCCCCACCGGCCCTCACCCTCTTGCGCTGCTCGCTGAGGCAGAAGGTGCAGATGGGGCGCTGCGGGCAGGGCTGCGGGGCGGCGGGGCTCTGCAGTCGCAGCACGTTGGCCAGGTGCGAGATGTAGCTGGAAGCCAGGCGCAGCGTCTCCACTTTGGACAGCTTGCGGTCTGCCGGCTCGGTGGGGATGAGCGTCCGCAAGGCGCCGAAAGCCGTGTTGACGCTGTGCGTGCGGTCCCGCTCCCGGGCGTTAGCCGCCGCTCGCTGCCTGCCGCCTCCCTCCCTTCGCCTCCTCCGCCTCCCGCCGTTCCCGACCGGTGGTCGCCCCGCGGTTCCGCCGCCGTCTCCTGCCCGTTGCTGCCCGGCGCCCGCCGCCCCGTCGGCGGCCTTCATGCTTCCTGCCGCCGCGCCGCCGCCCCATGACTTTTATGCGCGCCGGGTGCTCGCTCCGCGTGCTGCCGCTATCCGCGGCCGGGGGCTGCCGCACCTGTCACAGCGGCCCGGCGGCGGCTCCCGGGGTGAGAAAGCGACGCTGCGCCGCAACCCGGAGCCCGGGGGGTGCGGGAGGACGAGCGGCTGCGCCCCTGCCGTGTCCCACGACAGGGGTGGTAGCGGCAGCGAGCGGGTCGCTTTGCCTTCCCCGGCAGCCGCCGTGCCTACACGCAAATCCGATTTCTTATTCTGTTCCTAATGCGTGCCTCCCTCAACCATTTTATTTATTAAAAGGTCATTGTGAGCACTAGTTTATTACCACCTCTCTTTTCCATGTGAGTTTGACAAGCCTGTCTGCACTCGCCAACTCGGCAAAGGTCACGCCGCAGGTTTTCTGGAATGAATAATCTCTACCTGATTAAGCGTCCTCAACGGACTGCTGAATGCTGTCCCAGAAGCCTGTTTGTGGCAGTGGTGGTGTCTAAACGCGAGTCCTTCTCGAAGCAGGACTGGATGAGCAGCCATTCAGTGTTAATGGCGGGCACGCAGTTGGATGGGGCAGCTCCCTGGGACATGGACATCCATGAGCAGTGTGTGTTGTACCACAGCCATGCCATAGCATAACGATGAGCAAAACTGACCTAATGCAGGTTTTTTTATTTATGATGTGTATATAAAACTCTCCCTTACTGTCCAGCACAGGCTGCAGAAGTGTAGGGTTGGATTGTAGTGCTGTTGACCCAAAGCAGTTGCACTGGGGTGCAGAGCAGGGTGAGGCCCTTCACCTGCTGATGCTGGGGAAAAGCAGCGTTCAAAAAGCAGCAGCTTTCCCTAGAGACGTAAATATAGCTGTTAGACTTCCATAGCACTACAGGCTCTAGCTTAGCTGTTGCAAAGTGAACGATCTAGAACATTCTGAAGTTGAATTTCAGTGCTCATGATGACAGTGTTAATTTCCGCAGAAAAGATGTCCCCATGCAAGCTAGCATTGTTTTCCACGTGGGTTTCTCCAGTTTTGTTGCATGCAATATTTCTAGAGTGAAATACTGGCTCTGTTGCAGTCAATGACAAAACTGCCATTGACTTTAATGGCGGCAGGATTTCACCCCTGGTATGTTCTTGCAGCTGAGCGGCGCAGGTAATTGATTGTTTGTCAGACTCAGACATTTGCTTACTGATGTTTTCCTGTCCTTCGTGTTTCTGCTTCTTTCTTTCTATCAATTTATTTACTTTTGTTATTATTACTGAAAGTAAAATAAAATGCAGAAACACCTCAACAAAAAAAATCCCCAGCAGTTTCAGAACCCTGAGACGAAGCTGCTGCTGATATTAACACAACCAGAACGTATGGCTTATTGGCAAACTGGCAGAATGGACTGCAATAAGCAGTGCTCAGGAAGAAAATGATGCTGTGTCTGCAGACAAAAACAAAATGATTTTCACTGACATCACAGCAATAACTAATCCAGGGGTTAAGGACAAAGGGGTGGCTGAATGATTCCTCTTCTGTTTCCAAGGCAGTTTGGAAGAGTAGCGCAAGAAATGGAGTTGTATCACCCCTTTTTCCCCCCCCCTCCAGTTAGGATACTTGTAAAAGGGCCACAGTGATGGTGACTTTAATTACAAGGTTATTGATTGGGATAACATTTATGCAAGTGCTAGAGGGAGCGTATTCCTCCAGGAAGGCGTAGAAAGGCAGAACTGCTGTTACTTTACAATTTGCTGAGTTGCTAATATCAAGTAAGAATGGGTCTGCATCCATGTGAGGCAGAACAGTGGACGTTTTATGTGTGGCAGTAGGGTTTAGCCTGAAATTTGCATTTTATGCTATATAGAGAAAGATATCTGAGGGTCATTGCGAGGAAGTATTTATCTGTATTCAAAAGACTAGAAGAAAAACAGTGATAATAGAAGGATAGGAAGAATTTGGCTTATTTCTTGGAAAAAAAATTACCTATTAAAAAAAAAAAGCAAGTCAATGAGAGGATAACTAAAGGGCAAACCTAATTTATAGCTAAAGATGTTTGTGGTCATATTTAGGAAGCTTTCCTTCTGGTGGCTCCTATTTCTGCATGTTGTGTTTTTGGAGGATTATACCTGTTATTGTTTGTGTTCTCTGTCAAAGCCATTAAACATACACATATGTTAATTTCTGTATGAAGGTCTGCTGCAGGAAAGAGTGGCGGAGATCTGCAGAACAGATTTCTGAGCCACCAACTCAGTGGTCCAACCTGCTGGTTTGCATTTTGACTTTGGCAAGTGTCACCGTGGCTAGCATGGAGGATGCAGAGCAGCCATCTGTGTGGCAATGCCTGCCATGCACCACACATCCGAGGCCTTTGGGCAGCCTGCATTGCTGGTTGAGGGTCCAGCTTGGGTTTGCTATACACTGCTAGGACTAATGTCAGCCTCACTGAAGCTTCACCATTCGCTAGTCTTCTGGGGTTGGTGGTGTGTGCCCTGTGGGGCGCAGATGTGTGAGTGTGTCTCGGAGAAGCTCCCAGGTGAACAACATTGACCAGCCCCATATTTTGGTGATGTGATTCCATTAGTAAGCATTAAGTGGAAGCTGCTTTACTAAATGTGGGGCTGGTCAATGTTCTGCCACGTGCACAGGGTCTGGGCAGGCAAGTTTGTGTGGAGCACTCAGTGACATTCCTGTTTGCATGCTAATGCCCAGAGTGTTCCTTGTGCAGCACTTGATAGAAGCAGACCCACGAGGTATTTCAGTTGTGTTTGACAGGTTCAGGTGAGAGACCTGAGAAATCTAACAAAGAGAAACAAATAAAGGACATTGATGGCTGGAAGTGTTCACGTGGCTGAGAATTAAGTGCTATTCATTATGTGTCTGTGTGTCTTCATCCGGCTGTGACAACCGCTGCTGTCCTTCACAGCCAGCCTGGATGATTGAGCTGTCATTTGTGGTGCAGTTCTTAATAAATGTGACTTCTCCAAAAAAAAAAAGTGTTGATTGAAGAGCCTTTTTAATGGCATTTTACCCTGCGGAGGTTCTGTAAGAGAGTGATTTTCAGGAGAAAAGGTGGAGAAGTAGTCAATACAGAGTGGTACATGAGAGTTTTTGGGTAAGGAGGGCTCCTGTGAAGCATGTTAAATTATAAAAGATGAAATGTGAAGTGGATTGGAGGCTTCCCCTGTTTCAAGTCATGTCAGGGGGGATGGTGAATCTTGGAAGGCCAGATCATGATAAATATCCTCTCTATGTTTTGAACTAAGAAAGGCAGCAGCCTGCTCTGCAGCGTCATTTCCCTGGCAGGGCAGGAGCAGCCCCAGCTCTGCCCTGGGCTGCTGGTAGTTGATTAATGTGGGATCTCGCCAGTCCCTTCTTGATATTCCATCCAGTCGGGTTTAGCATGACACTTATCTCTTCACTTGCAATCTCTCTTCTTCATCTGAATTGATCGGTGCCATGATTCTCCGGTGTGTTAATGAGTTTTCTGTGTGGTACTTTGCTAGGGGCCTTGTTAAACTCCAGAGACATTCTGCCTACTGCATTTTATTTATACGCCTACTCTGTTACTCTTGACAAAGAAGAGCAGAGTTGTTTATCTTGAGTTTTTGTCAAAAAATTTGCCTTGCAGTAATTTTTCTCTGCTCTGTCTGCCCACGGAGCAAATCCGAATGTATTATTCACCTGTTATTTCAAACCCATTTAAACTTGCCAAAACTAAGAGGTGTTTTATACAATTCTGCTGATACTCCCAAAGTTGTTATTAACTGCCTCAGAAGTAATTTTTGATTGTGGTTGTATTCTGCAGAATGATGACAAGGCACATTCTTTTCTCTGTCAAACTGGAACAATGTAAGGACAGTATATTTGCCCTCAAAAACAAAGCGTTTTCCAAGCAGAGATTTTTTTTGTTGTTGTTCATGAAAGCTGAATGTGTTTGGAGCAGTCCCTACATGCTCTCTTCCTTCATTGCATATTAAATAATACATTTACAGGGGTGGATAGTGAAAGGACAAGGGGGAATGGTTTTAAACTGAGACAGGGGAGGTTTAGGTTAGATGTTAGGAGGAAGTTTTCAACACAGAGGGTGGTGGCACACTGGAACAGGTTGCCCAAGGAGGCTGTGGATGCCCCATCCCTGGAAGCATTCAAAGACAGGCTGGATGTGGCTCTGGGCAGCCTGGTCTGCTGGTTGGCAACCCTGCACATAGCAGGGGGTTGGAACTGGATGAAGTCCTTTTCAATCCAGGCCATTCTATGATTCTTTTGAAATCCACCCTGACCCATCGTGGCTGGTGGTGGAGCTCTTCCGCTCTCCTGTACTTCACTGTGTTGTCTCAAACATACAACTGTCTGAATGTGCTCTCTTTGTGTCCTTCAAGAAAAGGGACCCAAAGCACCGGGCAGCAACGTGCCAGAGACTCTAAGACTTTTTCATATGACCAAGTACCAGCAGTTCTCATTCTGTTCACTTTCAGGTGCTACAAGTGTGATGGTCAATTTGTGTACTGTCTTACTAGCCCACATTTCTCATTTTGCCTTCAGAATCTCATGGCTTGCTAAGTATGATTTGCAACGTTTTATAATTCTCACTTAGCAGCTAGCATTGCTGATAAAGAATCTAGATTTTTCTAGCTTCGCTGGAGTCATCTGAGTCACTGAACCTGTAAGAGTAGAACATACAGTATTAGAAAAGCATAGAGTTGTCATGCAGAGTAGGGTGGGTTGTTATTTTGATCCTAATAGTCAGTGGTTGGACTTGGATGATCTTAGTTGTCTCTTCCAACATTAATGATTCTACATGCTATAATGGTAGAATGATACTGTAGAAATGCAGCTGAGTTTCAGGTATTAAAAACAGTTGGCTGCTGTAATAATGAAAGTGAGATGCAGAATCACCCACTTGTGTGGAACAACGATTGCAAATACTTCGCAATGCTTATTGCTATTTGATTGTTCTCCTCTACTCCCCATGACTGCTAGATTTTGCAAA